AATAGTTGCGCAACTGACATGACGCCATATCTATGAGGCCATTGCAATGCCCCCGCTGAATCCCCATTTATCCGGAGAGCAACTCCATCACGCACTTGGTGCGGAGTGGGTTCCGACACACTATCACTGAAAAAAATATATTTCAAATATTTTATATGAAACAGATTTAACTAGCAAAAAAAACACATTTAAAATATTAGGCATTTAACTGGTTTAACATATTAAATTTTAAATAATAAAGTAGGACTGTATTGTTAAACAACATCATAAATAAGAATGAATTTTATTCCAGACTAAACTGACTTTACGTAAGATAGCATTCTATTTTTAAAGTTCAGTAAATAGCAAGGAATTTTATTCCAGAATAAACTCATTTTATGTTAGATAGCATTCACAAACTTTTAGCGGAAGTTCTGGTTTAAATTATAGATTATAATATTTTTTTTAGAAATACGACAACTTATTTATAGGTCCATTAAATTTTATTTTAAGTCTTTTTTTCTTGGTTTTGAATTAATCTATTAATATTATTTAGAGACTTAATAAATTAAAATTTAATATATAAAATTATATTAAAAAAACAACGGTTTTTAAGAAATAAAGTGAGCCCATACTTAAGTTTGTGTTTACATTAAATCGATCAAAATAATAGGTGCAAATGACTGATAAAACGGTCTCCTTTTATATTTTTTATGAACTTAACTAATTATTAAAGATACATGTTATTATGTATATATTTTTTTCTGTGTAATTCAGTTTGGTAGGCTCGATGAGGCATCGGACTGGGGATTCCGGAGTCCAAAGTCCGTAGTCCGCAGTCCGGAGTCCGGAACCCGGACACGCACTCAGCGTGTGTGCACATTGAAGTGGACCATCGTTTGTCACACGTGGTGGGTGTGGAAGTGGGTGTGGGAGTGGGAGTGTGTGGAAAAGTGGGTGGCCAAGTGGATGCGGGCGTCAGGACACTGGTACAGTGGTGCCATGTGAAGAGGTGTTGGTTATGCAGAAAGGGAATCTGCAAGTGGCTGGGCATTTTAAAGCACTCTCCGTCTAAGCAAATACTACGATTGCGGTGAGTCAGTCAAAGGGGCGAAAGAAGACGAGTTCCTTGTTGATTCAAATTAGACTGATCCATCTGCCGGCACCACTTGCCGGCTTGACCCACTGTTGATGTGGATGTGGATGTTGCTGTGGCTGCGGCTGTATTCCTTGTTGACTGTTGGTGGCGGGGCTAATGGAGTTTGCAAGAAGTGGGCAAAAATGTGGATCAAGCAGCCGCATTCGCACAAAGGCCCCCCTTTCTTCGCCTTTCTCCGCTGCTTTCTTCCTTGCGGGAGAAATGCGAGCAACTTTGCAAATTGTTGCTGCCACCCAGCTGTATCCCAGCTGCCCCACTTCCTTGGACCCACCGCAACTGCATGAGGTTGCCAACTTGGTGCACCTACAAAAATATTTTCAAAAACTTTACAAGCACTTTAAATAATAAACTAAAGAACCACTATTTTCATTCTTAAATATGATATCAATTTAATGGCAATACAAAATATGAAAATTATTTTTGAAAGTCAGCTATATAAATATATTTTATTAAATAATAAATTTAAAATAAAATATTGACCAGAAGAATGGGAAATTTTTTATACTTATTAGAGTAAAGATTTATAAATCAACAGACAAGCCAGTAATTCCCTCTTCAATTTTATTGACAATTTAATGCAAATATATTTTAATTTGTTTTTAAATTATAGTAAGTTTATTTGTTAAGGCCCAATAAATAACAGCTGCCTAAGAAAGAACAAAGCGAACTAGTTGCTGAAACTTAGAAATATTTTGATGAAACCTTTTCTGTAAGTGTAGCGATGGGAGCGGGGTTACCACATGGACACCAGTGGGTCGACTGGCCCCAGGACTTGGGTCTTTCATCAGGCCAGCGTCGTAGTCATAGCCATAGCCATAGCCATCGCCATATCCAGAGCCACAGCCAAGACCGAAACCGAGACCCGGAGTGAGAAGTGAGAGGTGAAGCGGCGGTGGCTGCTTTGTTTATGTGGCTCCATTTGGGCGTGTGCCTGACCTGACCCACTCAACCACCCATCACCCATCACCCATCTGAGCCATCCGCATCCACGTCCACCACCTTCCTGTGGCTGCTGCTATTGTTGGGCTGGGGCCTCAAGCTCTACGTGTGAGTGGTTTTAGTGTTGTTCTGGATTTTTATACCCATTAGTTTTAGGATGGAAGGTAGTCTATTTTCATGTGAATTTAAGTAGAAGAGCCCAGGACTTTCTTCCATCCAAATTCAAACTAAAAGTCAAGATTTAATACAGTATCTATGAAAAATAATATTATAAACTGCAATTTTATTGAATTAAACTTTAAGGCGAACTGAAACAGGTACACTATTCTGAAAATCCTGGTACTTCAGTATATTTTTAATGGAAATAACATTTTAAACAAATTGTTACAGATTTTGGATCAAATTATACATTATTTATAATTTAATTTTGAGTTGTATAAAAACGAATACAACCATTTGTGGTTAATAAGCTTTTATTATTCCAAAGCTTATTTTATTAAATTGCTCGCACAGGTTTTTTCTTTTTAATAAACTTATGGAACTTTTCCATTGTTATTTTTGAAAAAATTCCAAGGCAAACGAATGCTGGGTATTTAATAGTCGTTCCACTTCACTCAAGCACTCCATCTTGTTCTGGATTTTTAAGTTGTTTTCGTTGTCGTAGGTTGTTTGTGTTGCCTTTTTTGTTGTCCTGTGTGTGCGAGGTTTTGCCTTTTTCCTGTGTGTTGCATCCTCGTCTTTAGTTGCAATTTGAGCATAGACACAGACACAGAAACAGACACGATTGCACTTGGCCAAAACACACACATACACACAGTGAAACGCTGACACCAATTAGGGTTGCAGGTTGTTGCTGTTGTTGCTGCCGCTAGTTGCTGTTGGTAGTTAGTTAGTTTGGTTGCACTTTGTGCGTTGCATGTTTACAGTGGCCACAAAACATAATTTCTGTTTAGACAACTTTAGCCCCATCTCCAATTGCAGTGGCTTCTGGCCAAAAAAGGGGTAAAAAGGGGGTAAAAAAAGTGGTAAAAAGGTAGTAAAAGCGGTAAAAAAAAACAGGGTCATAATTATTGCGCCAACAAAGACCCAAAGCAGCTGCAACATCAGCCGGCGGTAAGCGATGTTGCCAGCAGGCAGGCACCAGCTGAATTTTCGGTATAATTTTCACTTTGGCCAAGAAACTTTTTCGCTGCCGCATTGAATTTGCAACTAGCAAGCAGCTAAATTCTGGCCAAAAGCAACAGCAACAAAGTTCATGAGTTGATTAGAAACTTTTTAAACCGCTGTTGCAGCTACATCCTTAGCCCGCTGCAATCCCATAGCCATCACCCTCAGCCGCTTATGCACTCAGAAAAATTATCTTACGATTGTAATAGAAAACTTTATAGAACTTAAATTATTAAATTAATAAATACAAGAAAATTGCATATTTATATTTGGTCCCATTTCAAAAGGCAATCCTTTCCATTAAATATTAAAATAACTTCCTTAAGCAGGCAATCTTTATGTTGGTTTCTTAATATATTAATTTTAAGATTAGTTAATTTTCCCTTAAAAATAATTTGTTTAGTCTAAGGGTATTTATAAAAAGGCTGTACAAAATTCTATAGTAAATCATCGCTTAAGAAAAGCTGGGTCGATTTAAATCAAACTTTTTTTCCGTTGTTCTGACGATTTCCTTAATCCCATTATAAAATACATATTAATCGAAATTTCTTCGAGTAAACTGTTGCTAATGGCAGCTCGTGAGCTTGGCATATGCGAAGAGACCTCAATCCGTGGCTTGGGCTCCCAACTCTGACTATATGCTACTGCTACTATACTATATATGTTGCCGGGGTTGCCGGCTTATCGCTTGGCTGCTTTGTCGCCGGGCACGGGTATAAACTATGCGAGCATCAACTTTTTGTAATTAATTTTTAATGTGTGCAAAATGTTTGTGCAAACGAGTGTATGTTGTTGTTTGCAGCTCAGCGATATCAAGCGGATGTCGTTAGAACGGTTTATCAAGCGCTCTAAGAGGCGGATAAACTGCGGCTTCGTTGCGGGGACATTCTATATAGTATTTAAGTTTGTGCTTAGCTGGGGTAAATAATTGGATTTCGCTTGAAATTGCTGGGAGCGGGTTAGAACTCGAAGGCTTTCGTTTCTTCAAACGGAATTTCTTTGGAAAATATCGCACTAATTGCATATGACAATGAGGCACAACATTCACCACCCAACCGCCCACACGAAAGCTCCTTAAAGACCCATTTGAAACCCCCCAACACTCAATACCCACATAGTGCGAGAATGAGAGGAAAGAAGGTGCGATGCAGACCGCATGACGAGAATTGGCATTGGCAACTGGCAGCAATTTGCCAGAACCAAAAATTGATTTACCCTCAACTGCAAGTCTTCCAGTTTCAATGCACTTGGAATAATTTCTGTTTAAAAAAATATATATTTCATTAACTGAATAATACAATTGTACAATGAGTAAGAATATTTATTTACTTATATGATATATACTTATATGTGATATATCAACTACTTATCGAGACACTTTATATTACTTTTTTAAAGCAAAGCTGGCATCATTGACAAATTTGTGTCTTTTGAAATATTGGCATCATTGATAGCTTCAGTGTAAGAGCTGGCATCACTGGTGATATAATAAAAATAGCTTTTAAATGAAAATAAAATTATAAGAGCAGTGCGTTTTAATTGGTATTTTCCTGAAAACAATACTCTTTAATTAATAGCAAATTCATTTGATACATTATTTCGCAGTGTAGTAAACCCACCTTTTCCTTCACTCCTCACCCATCTCGCATCCGTCCATCAGATAAACGTTTTGCTATCTGCAATCTGGAATTCGCATTCTGTCCACTCGACTCACTCACGCTTTGTGTTCTTGTGTGTCCCGGCGACATTTTTGCAGGGATTTGCGTTTCAATCACATCGAGGAGCTGCCGGCCAACGCGTTCAGTGGTCTCGCCCAGCTGACGACGCTCTTCCTGAACGAGAACGAGCTGGCTTACCTGCAGGATGGGGCCCTCAACGGACTGACGGCGCTGAGGTTCCTCTATCTGAACAATAATCGCCTAAGCCGCTTACCCGCGGCCATCTTCCAGCGGATGCCACGCCTGGAGGAGGTGTAAGTGAACCCAGCCGTCTTAATTAAGGATCTCCCCGAGCAATCGCCTTTCCCGCTTTCCCTTTTCCCTTTGCAGTTTCCTGGAGAACAATGACATTTGGCAGCTGCCCGCCGGCCTCTTTGACAACTTGCCGCGCCTGAGCCGTCTGTAAGTCGATGATGATGATGTCCCCTTTTTGGGGTCTGTCTTTTGTTTGAGCTGTCACTAACTTTTGGGGCTTTCCCCTGTCCCCTCTCCACTGTCCAATGTCCAGTTTCATGAGCAACAATAAGCTGTCCCAACTGCCTGTGGACATCTTTAATCGGCTGAACAGTCTGAAGCGTCTGCGACTGGACGGCAATGCCATCGACTGCAATTGCGGTGTCTATTCGCTCTGGCGCCGCTGGCACCTGTATGTCCAACGCCAACTGGTGGCCATCTCGCTCACCTGTGCCGCTCCTCAGGCCCTCCAGAATCAGGGCTTTTTCAGCCTGGGAGAACATCAGTTCAAGTGCGGTAAGTAACAAAAGAATATTTTATTAGGCCACAGAAATCTCTAGGAATCTGAAATCTCTTGACATTTTTTTCCTAAAATTAATATCTAAATAACTTCTACAATGGGTTTTTTTGAGAATCAAATTACGAGTCTTACGAGATATGTCACTTTCAAATCGGATAAAATTTGGTAAAGTTATGGACTCCGGAAGTCCAGTTTTGGGTCGCCTTTTAACAACACATCGGAAACTTGGAAATAAATGACATGAAAATGGGTCAAAAATTGGACCAACGTTAAAATGAAAATTTTGAATGCAGTTTTTTTGAGAATCAAATTACGAGTCTTACGAGATATGCCACTTTCAAATCGGATAAAATTTGGTAAAGTTATGGACTCCGGAAGTCCAGTTTTGGGTCGCCTTTTAACAACACATCGGAAACTTGGAAATAAATGACATGAAAATGGGTCAAAAATTGGACCAACGTTAAAATGAAAATTTTGAATGCAGTTTTTTTGAGAATCAAATTACGAGTCTTACGAGATATGCCACTTTCAAATCGAATAAAATTTGGTAAAGTTATGGACTCCGGTAGGCCAGTTGTGGGTCACCTTTTAACAACACATCGGAAACTTGGAAATTAATGACATGAAAATGGGTCAAAAATTGGACCAACGTTAATATGAAAATTTTGAATGCAGTTTTTTTGAGAATCAAATTACGAGTCTTACGAGATATGCCACTTTCAAATCGAATAAAATTTGGTAAAGTTATGGACTCCGGTAGGCCAGTTGTGGGTCACCTTTTAACAACACATCGGAAACTTGGAAATAAATGACATGAAAATGGGTTAAAAATTGGACCAACGTTAAAATGAAAATTTTGAATGCAGTTTTTTTGAGAATTAAATTACGAGTCTTACGAGATATGCCACTTTCAAATCGAATAAAATTTGGTAAAGTTATGGACTCCGGTAGGCCAGTTGTGGGTCACCTTTTAACAACACATCGGAAACTTGGAAATTAATGACATGAAAATGGATCAAAAATTGGACCAACGTTAAAATGAAAATTTTGAATGCAGTTTTTTTGAGAATCAAATTACGAGTCTTACGAGATATGCCACTTTCAAATCGAATAAAATTTGGTAAAGTTATGGACTCCGGTAGGCCAGTTCTGGGTCACCTTTTAACAACACATCGGAAACTTGGAAAAAATGACATGAAAATGGGTCAAAAATTGGACCAACGGTAAAATGAAAATTTTGAATGCAGTTTTTTTGAGAATCAAATTACGAGTCTTACGAGATATGCCACTTTCAAATCGAATAAAATTTGGTAAAGTTATGGACTCCGGTAGGCCAGTTCTGGGTCACCTTTTAACAACACATCGGAAACTTGGAAATAAATGACATGAAAATGGGTCAAAAATTGGACCAACGGTAAAATGAAAATTTTGAATGCAGTTTTTTTGAGAATCAAATTACGAGTCTTACGAGATATGCCTCTTTCAAATCGGATAAAATTTGGTAAAGTTATGGACTCCGGAAGTCCAGTTGAATTTGCTTCGAAATTTTAGGGACACATTTGGATAGTTTAAGTCGACATTTTGCAATAAGAAAAAATCGATGTTTTGAAGCCTCTAAAGCAGGCTCCCCCTTAAGGTATAAGACCACTTTTTTTGTCTTTTGTATTATAACATATATAAACATATTATATCAAATCGTTGAGTTTAAAGAAGATTTTTCATCAAACTGCCGTAAGGGAAACCCTCTTAAAAGCCCCAGTCCATTGAAAGCATGATTTCTGATGTGCGCCACAGATACATTTAAATACCGAATTGATGGGCACTCTGCTGAATATATCTTGCAGCCAAGCCGCAGTTCCTGGTGGCTCCCCAAGACGGCCAAGCCGCCGAAGGCGATCAGGCGGAGCTGAGCTGCGAGGTCACCGGCCTGCCACGCCCCCAGGTCACGTGGATGCGCAACACCCAGGAGGTGGTGGTCGGTGGCGAGGAGCAGGCGCGGGTGGAGATCCTGCCCAGCGGCAGTCTGCTCATCCGGAGCGCAGATGAGGGGGACATGGGCATCTACCAGTGCATCGCTCGCAATGAGATGGGCGAACTGCGCTCCCAGCCGGTCCGCTTCTCCGTTTATCCCACTGCACCACCGCGCGACTTCCTCCTCGATGCCCGCAGCAATCAGGTGTGGGTGGACACAACACCACCGGGGAGTGCAAACACACCAACGCCATCGCCACCGCACTTCACACACCAGCCACACGACCAAATTGTGGCCCTCCACGGCTCCGGCCACGTGCTCCTCGACTGCGCCGCCTCCGGCTGGCCACAGCCGGACCTACAATGGTTCGTCAATGGGCGCCAGCTCTCCCAGTCGACCCCCAGCCTCCAGCTCCAGGCCAATGGCAGCCTCGTCCTGCTGCAGCCCACCCAACTCTCTGCCGGCACGTATCGCTGCGAGGCTCACAACTCTTTGGGCAGCGTCCAGGCCTCCGCCCGCATCGAACTAAAGGGTGAGTGAATGCCAGAGGTGCTACTTTCTGGGCAGTACCAGCCAGGTACTTGCTGGAAATTATATATACTATTTATTTATATATACTATTTTATATATATATTATTTAAACCAAACAATTAAGCTATACAAAATTAATCGGCAACGTTACCAATTTACTATTTCCAAGCTTCCCTTGATTTATTGTTTTAGATTATTAGTTTGGGGTAGATTTGTATTTTGAAATAAATTTAAATTAAGTATAGTTTTTAAGAGGTCATTTACTGTAGAATGTATTTTCGATATTATATTAATTATATTTACTACGAATAGGTTTTTTGATAGATACCATACTTTTTTATTTATTATAGTTTTATACTAGTTCAGTATTCAAAGTAGCTGTACTTAACTATCTTAGGGTTATGTATTTTAATATGAAACAGAATCAAATTTTTTAAGAGAGCTCATAGCTTTAATTTTAATCTTTATAACTTTGATTTTATGATTGTTATTATAATATAACATAAAATGGAATATTTATAGAATATTGATAGAGTGTTATTATTAGTTTTAATGGTAACCACATAAGGTACCAAAGTACTGCTCATCACTGAAACCGTTTGGGATGGTCACAATAGATCCCCTTTTTCTGGCCATACACCATCGACAGTCACAACTGTCGCGTTCTACTCAATTTGCAGTCGATTTAATTTGTTTTCGTCTGGGAGTGGGAAATGGCAACGATTCGGATGAGGATGAGGCTGGGGACTGCAATGGAGACTGACCAGGATACTGGCCACGGCAACACAACTGATATTGGGGCATTGGGACTTTGCAGAGGAGTTTGCCCCCGCGGGATGAAACCCCACTCCCCGATAGATAAATTGCGACAACTTTGACAGCAGGTGGTGTCGGTGATTGGATGGAACTCTATGTAGACAAATCAAATCACAAAAGTTTGTAGTATTGCACTCAGAAAATTACTATGAATGTGGGAAACAGAATAACACAAGTTTTTGCTATAAATACTAACAGCATTTTGTTATTTTACTATTCACATTCCTTCGAATGAGTTTAATAGAAATATGGGAAACAAATTTACAATAGTTAAAAATACAAGAAAATTTAATTTTAACCTATTTTAAATTTGTTTCTAATATTTTTAATAAACTCATTCAAAGGAATGTGAATAGTAAAATAACAAAAAGTAAAATAACAAAAATGTGAATAGTAAAAGATTAAAGAGTTTTTTTATTTGAATATGGTATACAAAATTTTATAGAATTTTTCGTAAAGAAATATATTTTTTTTCTTTTGGTACTTTATTTAAGTACTTTTTTGCAGTGCAGTAACTTTATGCAATACTAAATAAATTGCTCTGGGTTTGATTGGGGCACATTAAGCGCTCTCGCTACGTAGCCAGTTGCTCATTAAATAACCGAAGAAGTGCATCCCGGCAGGAGGTTAACCCCGAAACTGCTTGGCACTTGAGCTTTTTATGTTTTTCCATTCGTTATAGCCGTATTTCGAGCGTTTGTACGTGACTGTACTTTATGGCGCAATAGAAATGGCCAACGCGGAGTGAAATATATATAGCTTATATATATATATATCCCCAGGGGAATGGAGATCGCAGACGGCGGAAAGTGCATGTGCATCCACCGCCTTGATGCAGCACAATGGCTCATTATAATTTGTGGTTGTCGGCACAAAATGAAGTACGAAATTTATGCATTATTTTGCAGAATTAAGTGCAAAAATTATAAACTATTATGTGCGGCGAGGGCACGCACAAATTGCGCGCTGTGGCTTTTGTGGATGGGGAATGGAAAGGGAAATGGCAATGGGGATTAGGGGATCTCGAAAACTGCGGGAACTACGGGACCTACGGGGCGGATGAACTGTTTAAGCACTCAGGCATTGCGCTTGGTCAGCATAATTAACCCGGCGAACGCATAAACAGACACGGGCAAATACTCGAAACAAACACAAACACTCGTATACAAATAAATATGGCGGGCACGCTGAAAAGTATGCAGCGAAATTTTTGAATTTATATTACGTATACGCCCTAGGGACTTGGACAGAAGTACAGTGGGTTAGGATATGTTCTTATTATTTTTTATTAAATGTAATCCTCTTTTAGCTAGGCATTAAAGTACAAAATTAATGTTTTTTTTTAATTTAGCATAGTTATAAGTTAAATTTTGTTTTTTAAGTTCTATTTCAAACTTTATTTTTCGATATTTTGCCAAGTAAAGCTCCCTTTTCAAATACTTCATTGTTTTGTTACCATTAAACGTTAGTTAATATACTAGATATGTTCATAAAATACCCTTTTAATTATTAAACTGACCTTACAAGTTTTTGGTAAATATTGAAATACGTTTTTGAAAATGAATTCCCACTGCGCAGCGGCTAAAGCGGGTCAAAAGGCGGGCGTTTGGGGGTTAATGTTTGGCGTTTGGTGGTGCTTCGGCAACAAAGGACTCATAGAAACCAAACCAACGCCGGCTTGCGCTTTAGTCGCTTGTTGCTGCCATTTGGAGCAGGAAAATTGCTCGAAAATCACTCATTCGCCCCGTTGCACCACTTACCACTCTTGCAGAATTGCCCGAAATTTTAACAGCACCGCAAAGCCAAACAATCAAACTGGGCAAGGCCTTTGTGCTGGAGTGCGATGCCGATGGCAATCCGCTGCCCACCATCGACTGGCAATTCAACGGCAAGGCTCTTGCGGGGAATACCCCCGATCTGCTCTTGGAGAACGAGAACACCGAACTGGTGGTCAGTGCCGCCCGCCAGGAGCATGCCGGTAAGTAGGGAAAGTGATTGCCAAAATCGGTTTACATTGCATTCCATTCCATTCCATCCGATGCCTTGGACATTATCCATGAATACTGCAAATCCCCCGCAGGTGTCTATCGCTGCACGGCGCGCAATGAAAACGGAGAGACGAGCGTGGAGGCCACCATTAAAGTGGAACGCTCGCAGTCGCCCCCACATCTCGCCATCGAGCCGACCAATTTGGTGGCCATTACGGGCACCACCATCGAGCTGCCCTGCCAGGTGGATCAACCCGAGGACGGACTGCAGGTAAACTTACTTACTCACTCACCCCGGCAAATGGCCAGGGAATCGGAAACTTTTTTTATTTACCCGCCACTTGTTGACGTTTCCTTTTGGTCTGATTTTCGGTTTGGCCACCGGAAAAAATATCTGTAAATTGGAATCTTATTTTGATGTTATTATAATCAAATAAATACTAAGATTTTCATCCAAAAGATATATCTCCGACAACATCATTATTAAAGTTATGTTATTAGAATATAAATATAACATTTATATATGAACAAATTTTAATTATTTTTTATGAGTATCTAAATGACTCCCAATTTTTTCCTGTGTACATCCTCAGATTACGTGGCGCCGCGATGGCCGGCTCATTGATCCGAATGTGCAGCTGACGGAGAAATATCAAATAAGCGGCGCCGGCAGTCTCTTCGTGAAGAATGTGACTTTCCCGGATGGAGGACGATACGAGTGCCAGGTGAAGAACCAGTTTGGCAGGGCCTCCGCCTCCGCACTGGTTACCATCAGGTGAGCAAACGAAGGATTCCGAATCAAAATCAAATAGCTCAACTTTGGGCACCGTCGCGACCGCAACTTTAATTGCGCTGTCGGCGGCGTGAAGGGCGGATTGTATAAGACTCCATTAAAATCAAAGGGAAAACTTTTGCTCAAAGGCGAAAGAACTGTGGAGAACTGGCAAGAAAAAGGCCTCTGCCAACAGAGGACGCACTTAAAATGCGTTTAAGTGCGCGGCAAACTTGCTTAATTAATTGAAAAATAGTTGAGGCACAGAAAAACTGAACATGAACTTAATGATGCAACGGATTATGCTGGAAATTAATCAATTTTAACATCTCTGTGGGTACCAAGTTATATTTTAAAAAGATTTTGAAAGTATTTTCCAAATGAAAATGTTGTAAATATTTTTAACTACAAACCCACCTTTTATTTACCTATTAATAAAATTTAAAAAACGTATAAAATGTATAGCAAACATTTCATAGATTTTCTCTATACTTTAATTTACTTAAAATAATAGCTTTCATGTTTTCCATTTAGTAATTTAACTTTAATAAAAATGTTACAAAGTTGTGTTTTAAAAATGAACCAACATGTTTTACAATTGTTGCTGGCAGGATTAGTCTATGCATGCCTCAAATGATTCTTTAATCCTTGCGTAGTTGCACTGAGCTAAATTGCTTGGAAACCACTCCCGCAAAACTATGAAAAGAACATAAAACCATAAAATAAAGCTGCTGGCTAAACTACTGCACAGTGGCCGGAAAACCAGGGAAAACCAAGACAAAACCAAGGCAAAATCAAGGGAAAGTCCAGGGAAAATGAACCTCCTGCAGCAGCGAGGAGGATAAACATCAAGCTACGACTGGCTGTTATCAGAAGCAGTTAACAGCTGCACAAACTTGCTAATCCCCTCCAGTTGCCAAGGCACTGAGCTCCACTGTGTTGTCAGCTAAACTGCAAATAAAATATGCACCCAGGCACCAAGAACATCAAAAGGCGGCGAGGAAGGCACAAAAGTTGTCGCCGCCGTTGCCAGTTGCCAGTTTTCAGTTTTCAGTTACCAGCTTTCTGTTGCCAGTTGCTAGTTGCCAAACTGAAAAACGTGCTAAGCCCGGAAAAGCTACGTGCCACACTCACACTCACACACATGCATTCGGTTGGGGAAAATGGCAGGAGACACAAGGCAGTGAAAATTCCTCACTGAGGCAACCGCACAAGTTATCCAAATTGCCCAAATTGAAATTGAGTTGACAAGTTGCTGGCTGCAACAAGAAATGGAAGTGAGGCACACTACAGAAAATACCGTTTCTCCAAGTCAAATTTTAAAATTAAGAGCGAAAGAATAAATAACATAAAGACACAAAGCTTTATTTAAAAGCTGAATATAAATCATTAATAATTTTTCTTTATTTGTAGATGTAAGATACAATAATGTATAAATGCGCAATAAATCTGAAACAATATAGACAGCAAATGCTTTTACATTTATTTCTTAATGTATCTTTATGCATGCATTTATTTGATTTAATGTTTTGGTATTTTATTGACCATGAGTTATTTTACAATAAATGTGTGTCTACTCCCCTAATTCAAGATATTTGCTTTTTATATTGTGCAGTGAATCTGTAATTTATATATATTAACTAATTTTCAGTAAATTCCTGGAAATAAGTCTAAAGTTCAGGTATACACTTTTCTTGAGGTGCATTTAAAATAGAACTTGTGCCCATCTTGTACCTCAACTTTTACTCTCCTTTTGCGGCCTTAGAAGTTTTCAAATTGTTTGTTCCGAAAAAAAGCGACAAGATGTGAATTTATTGAGCAAATGGCCTCCGCGTCCACATCCACATCCACATCCACATCCATCCTGCCACAGGCCGTAAATCAATTTGAGGCGGCAAAGAGTGGAGATTGGGAATACGGACTTGGCCATTAACCACCGACTGGCCCACAAAAGAACCGCCGTGGCGGCTTACTTTCTGCTTACACAGCCATTTTCCGATGCATAATGCAGCAGGATTTGGCAGTCGAGGAAAAGCGGGCGGGATAATGGTGGAAATCTGGGGATTTCCATGTGTGTGTGTGTGTGGGGTGGACGCAGCATTTAGTGGCAGGAACAGGAGCTGAATCGGCTTACAGTTCTCTGCGCCGGCAGCATTAGAAACTTTACTCATTACGCCGGGAAAACCCAGTCGCCAGACCGCAGCAAAGCATCAGGGGGCAGAAAATTATAAAGGAAAAATCCAGAAAAAGGGTGTGAGAAAGCAGCGCCAAAAGTGAAAAACTATGTTGGAAGAAGGATCCGGGAATCCCCGCCATTAAGAGTGAGCAAAAACCGCTGAAAGACCCCGACGAAACCAGTGCAACAAAAATAAGAAAAATACCAAAACACAACAACCAAAGGCAGCAGCACACAGAAATCCGCCTAAGTTGTGGGTAATGCTGGGCGTAAAACAAAAGCTTATCCTGTTACTGCCATTGTTTTTGTTGCTGCCACTGGCTTTGGCTGCTCCTTTCTGGAGCCACTGCCTCCTGCTACTGCCCCTCATCCTGCTCCAGCTCCTGCTCCCGTGATCCTGTGCTGCTGGCAAAAAGGGAAACCACGGAAATACATTGCCGTACGCCGCAGCATGTGGCAAAGGAGGAACGAGAGTGAGACGGAAGCCAGGACCCACAAAAAAACTTTACACCAAATTAGGCAACTGCAAGTGGTGATAGCTGAGATACTCTTACTGAAAATGGGATTCATTATTAACAAAATTTAAGAAAAATAAGTTAATCGAAATACTTTAAAAAATTAAAACACCACTAGTTTCTTGCTAGAAAAACCACAGAAATACATACTTTAATGTCTGTAAAATAAAGAAATACATATTTTATTTTAGTAAGTGTTCATAATTTTTCCCTAAAGCAAATATAATAGATTTATTTAATTTATATTTATATTTATATATAGATTGTTCCATTTTATTAATTGTAGCAAGTGGGTTATATAGTAACTTTCATTCCAAAAACTAACAAATCGTTAAACAATCATTTTAGTGAGGATGTCAGCAAAAAAACTTTTTTAAAAGTATTCTATAAAGTTTTGTACAAAGACTATCTTTGAATTAAACACTTTCTCTATTACTTTCTTTGGCACCGCAACAAAAATTCATTGTGTGCTAAAATAATTGTAAGAGTGATTCGCAAACTTTCCGAAAAATTATCAATGTCCCAAATACCGTGGGCAATTGTCAACCGAAGAACAACGGGCGCCCCGCCGAGTGGCCCAAAAAAGGACAAGGCAAAAGGGCAGCCACAGGATGGCAGCGTGGAAATATGTAGTCCTTGGCTCCGCAATATCCACTGCCTGAGGCAGGAGGACCAACACAGACCAGACCAGTACCAGAACCACTGCCAATGGCAACTGATAGTGCCAGACTTCTGGTGCAACAGGGTGTATTATGGTCGTTAAGTTATTACCTACAACGTCGCCTCCGCCGCACAATGCCAAAGTTTACACAGGCGAAAGTTTCCTAAAGGAGCATTCCTTGGCCGTCCCCCTTGTCCATTCCCCCATTCCGAGTTGGAAGGCAAAAGGCAATGCGCGGATTTCTTTTTATTTTCTGCACAAAATAATAAAAAATGCAGCATATTTTCCTGGGGAAGACAGGCGCAGAAAAGGGGAAATAGACTGGCTGGCATTTTTATTAGACAACGCGGCCATTTGGGCGACTCCTGGCACTGGCATTATGGTAATTAAAATGTGCAAATTCCCCAAGATATCTTTATTGTTTCTGTGCTTTGTGTCCTTTATGGAGGGTGCCAACTTCTGGCTCTAGGCATTTATAAAAATTAATAAAGAATTAAGCTGCTGGCTATTAGAGGTGGGGTCACCAAAAGTTATAATTTATATTAATCATAAAAATCTTTATTTAACAAAGATTAATAGGGAATTTAGTCACAAACTTATGGGGTATACTATTTCCAAAATGATTCAGCTTAAAAGATAAATGCATATATTTAAGCAAGACGAAAAGTATAAATCGGGGTCACCAAATAACTTCTTTTGTTTTAGGTGTTTTCAAGCCAGTCATACAATAATTTAATCAACTAATTTGTATTTCTTTTTTAGAAACAATGTGGACCTGGCTCCAGGAGATCGCTATGTGCGCATAGCCTTTGCAGAGGCGGCCAAGGAGATTGACCTGGCCATCAACAACACCCTGGACATGCTATTCTCCAATCGATCCAATAAAGCTCCTCCGAATTATGGTGATCTACTGCGGGTCTTCCGCTTTCCAACTGGAGAAGCCAGGCAACTGGCCCGTGCAGCGGAGATTTACGAAAGGACTCTGGTGAATATCCGAAAACATGTCCAGCAGGGAGACAATCTGACCATGAAGAGCGAGGAGTACGAGTTCAGGGATCTGTTATCCAGGGAGCACTTGCACTTAGTGGCCGAGCTGTCGGGTTGCATGGAGCACCGTGAGTCGCCCAACTGTACGGATATTTGTTTCCATTCGCGATACCGCAGTATCGATGGCACCTGCAATAACCTGCAACATCCCACCTGGGGAGCTTCGCTCACTGCCTTCCGGAGATTGGCGCCTCCCATTTACGAGAATGGCTTCAGTATGCCCGTGGGCTGGACCAAGGGCATGTTGTACTCTGGTCATGCCAAACCCAGTGCCCGATTGGTATCCACTTCTATAGTTGCCACCAAAGAGATCACCCCGGATGCCAGGATTACCCACATGGTGATGCAGTGGGGTCAGTTCCTGGATCACGACCTGGACCACGCCATTCCCTCGGTGAGTTCGGAGAGCTGGGATGGCATCGATTGCAAGAAGAGCTGCGAGATGGCTCCACCCTGCTATCCCATCGAAGTGCCACCAAATGATCCTCGTGTTCGCAATCGGCGCTGCATTGACTTGGTGCGATCCAGTTCGATTTGTGGCTCCGGAATGACCTCCCTCTTCTTCGACAGCGTTCAACATCGCGAGCAGATCAATCAACTGACCTCCTACATCGATGCATCGCAGATTTATGGCTACAGTACTCCATTCGCCCAGGAACTGAGGAATCTGTCTGCCCCAGAGGGTTTGCTTCGGGTGGGAGTTCACTTCCCGCGGCAGAAGGACATGCTGCCCTTCGCTGCTCCTCAGGATGGAATGGATTGCCGCAGGAATCTCGACGAGAACACCATGAGTTGCTTTGTCTCCGGGGACATTCGTGTGAATGAGCAAGTGGGTCTTCTAGCTATGCACACCATTTGGATGAGGGAACACAATAGGATAGCCAGGAAACTGAAAGAGATCAATGCCCATTGGGATGGGGACACTCTGTACCAAGAATCCCGCAAGATAGTGGGCGCCCAGATGCAGCACATTACCTTTAAGCAGTGGTTGCCCCTGATCATTGGAGAAAGTGGCATCAAGATGATGGGCGAGTACCAGGGTTACAATCCCCAACTGAATCCCAGCATAGCCAATGAGTTTGCCACGGCTGCCCTGCGATTTGGACACACCATTATCAATCCCATACTCCATCGCTTGAATGAGACCTTCCAGCCCATTCCCCAGGGTCACCTGCTCCTCCACAAGGCCTTCTTTGCTCCATGGCGTTTGGCCTACGAGGGTGGGGTTGATCCATTGATGAGGGGTTTCCTGGCAGTGCCTGCTAAGCTGAAAACCCCGGATCAGAACCTCAACACGGAGCTCACAGAGAAGCTATTCCAGACTGCCCATGCTGTGGCCCTCGATCTGGCTGCCATCAACATCCAGAGGGGTAGGGATCACGGAATGCCTGGCTACAATGTCTACAGGAAGTTATGCAACCTCACAGTGGCCCAGGACTTTGAGGATCTAGCTGGTGAGATTAGTAATGCTGAGATACGCCAGAAGATGAAGGATCTGTACGGACATCCAGACAACGTCGATGTTTGGTTGGGTGGCATCCTGGAAGATCAGGTGGAAGGTGGCAAGGTGGGTCCTCTATTCCAGTGCCTGCTAGTTGAGCAATTCAGACGCCTGCGAGATGGCGATCGCTTGTACTACGAGAATCCTGGTGTCTTCTCCCACGAGCAATTAGTCCAAATCAAGCAGGCCAACTTTGGTCGAGTGCTCTGCGATGTGGGTGACAACTTCGACCAGGTCACCGAGAACGTGTTCATTCTGGCCAAGCACCAGGGTGGCTACAAGAAGTGCGAGGACATAGCTGGCATCAATCTCTATCTGTGGCAGGAGTGTGGCAGATGCAATAGTCCACCGGCCATTTTCGATTCCTACATACCCCAGACTTACACCAAGAGGAGCAGCAGAAATAAGAGAGATCTGCGCAAGGAAGACGAGGAGGTGGCCACCGCCGAAAGCTATGACAGTCCCCTCGAGTCCCTTTACGATGTCAATGAAGAAAGGGTCAGTGGTCTGGAGGAGCTGATTGGCAGCTTCCAGAAGGAGTTGAAGAAGCTGCACAAGAAGGTGCGCAAACTGGAGGACTCGTGCAATTCCGCTGACTCCGAACCAGTGGCCCAGGTGGTTCAACTGGCGCCGGCGGCACCGGTTCAGGTGGTGTCCAAGCCCAAGAGGAGCCACTGCGTCGACGACAAGGGCACTACCCGGCTGAACAACGAAGTGTGGTCGCCGGATGTCTGCACCAAGTGCAATTGCTTCCACGGACAGGTCAACTGCCTGAGGGAGCGGTGCGGCGAGGTCAGCTGTCCGCCGGGAGTGGATCCACTGACGCCTCCGGAGGCCTGCTGCCCCCACTGCCCGCTGGTCAAGTGAACGGCTCAGCCGAAGAATTAAGCATATCGATGTACACGTTTATCCGTAGTAGCCACTCACTCACTCTAATCAAAACCAAAAAAACACACCGGCAATTGCGCAATGAGCATGTTTAATTGACAATTAACTAACAATGTACTGCTACACATGTAATAAAATAAAGCACATTAATATCCCATACAAAAGTGAAATATTTTTGGGTTTGTCGAATCGATTTGGAAAAATCTATAGGCACTACCCACGGCAAGCTTTTTGTTTCCATTATATATTTGTTATATATTGGTTTTTCTTATCACTTTGAAATATTTTAAAGTTTATTTTGAACCTCTTTGCTCTAGTCAAACTTGATGTATTTCAGATGGGTTCCCTTGGCTATTAGTGTGTCATCCTTTTTGTGCTTCAGCGTGCAGTCGATGAAGGCCAGATACTTTCCCACCTTGGTAAGATTAGCCTCAATTACCACTTCGTCACCCACTTTGGCGCCATTCAAAAAGTTTACACTAAGATCCACGGAAACTCCGGGATGACAGGGTTTGGACATCAAGGCGTAGGTGGTTACCATGTCCACCAGGGTCATGATATAGCCTCCGTGCAAAAAATAATACATGTTTGCATGTTCCCGTTCCACTTTCAGCTCAGCAGTACAGACTCCATCACCGCCATCCAAAATCTTGACCTTTGATGGGGATGATTAAACAAATTAGAAAATAAATATAAAACTTTAGCTTGAGCGTACCTTCTGCATGTGACTTTCAAAGCCCGTGGATTTTGTGATGATCTCCGTGATGTGTTTGACGAACTCCAGTCCCTTTTTGCGGGTTCCCATTTTTAGCGAATGGATGTTGTCCCAAAGACAATCCTTTAGCTTCTAGTTTACTGTAATAAAAACTGGTCGGTTTGATCGTGATGATTAAAATTACTAGATACTGGTTCGTAGAAAGATAGTGGTTAAATAGAAGGATAGCCGTATCAGACACTTAAAAGTCAAGTCGTAGGTTGTGATTATTTGATAAACATGTAACAATCCATCTTTATTGTACGTGTTATACTAGGGTAGACGAGACCCATCTTAAGTCACAATTAGGTTCTTGGAAGAGGTTTTTGCGGATGTTAGCGCTAATCTAAAAGTGCCTTGGTGTACAGTTATTTACAAACTAATCGTAGTTGTTTTTAAGCTAAAGAATTGTTTTACTTTATCTTCGAGTGCAGTCTTACACTTTTCTTGAAAGTAATCAAAACCAAGGTAAACAAATATTACGTGATATCTTAATAGTAAAGGAATGCGGAACCTACCAAACTACAGCCAATATGCAACGCTATATTCTAATTTATATCAGATTAACGTAATAACTTCTGTAAAAACAAAAACAAATTTCAAAACAAAAAAACAGCTGACTTACCGATTAGGTGTGACCGCATTCACAGTTATATCGACTAGGCTATACTGCAATCGATATATCGAAAGGACCAAATAAAAGGAGTAACGAATTTCAAATTTATTTGCCCATTTTTGTTCCTTTCAAATCAGTAAAAAGTGCAATGCATAGTACAAAAATACTGCCTATTTCAGCGATAAGTACCGGTTGTCTTAGTGTTCTTTAAGCAAACAATAAGTGTTCATTAACAAATACATTGTTTTGATTTAAGTTTGTTATTTGATTTTTTTATCTTTAAGTGCATTTTCCGCTTTTCGACGAAATTAAGCAAATTATGATTAGCAAACTAAAGGTAAACTGATATTAGATAATAACGTGAAATATAATGGAATACGAGCCCTACCGAACAACGGCCTTAATAGTTCTAGGAAACAAACCCAAGTCGCAAAGAAAAACCTAATACCTTAAAAAATACAACAAACTTAAAGTCCCTTAAAAACGCACAAAAGTCCCTCCAAAATAGTTTATTCAAAAAACGATTTCGAATTTTTTCACATAAAATCCATACAATTGGTTTAGTAATCGAGCTTCTTTTTGTCGAATTGAATGTACTTGACTTGTCCGCCCTTGGCGATGACCTTGCCATCCGATTTGCGGGTCAGAAGGCAATCCAGATAGGCCATTTTCTTTCCAGCCCGTACAGTATTACAATCTAATTGAATTACTTCCCCAAGATGAGCAGGGGCTGTAAAGCAGATATTTAAATTAGCAGTTACGCCGGGGTGACTTCCTTTCGACATTAGGGCATATGTTGTGCAAATATCAACAATTGTGGCCATTAGACCTCCGTGAAGGGTTCCTTGGCGGTTCAAGTGCTCCTTTGCCACAGTAAACTCTCCCACGGCGCGACCATCACCGCCGTCGGTTATTTTAATCTGCAGAATTTATAAATAGGGTACAATTGGAAAAAGCACAATGAAAATTTGGAATAAAAACTCTATATAAATTTTTGGAAAACCAACTCCAAATAAGAGGTCATTTTAATTTTAAATTCTCAACTGAGTCCCACACGAGAGATGAGAATTTCAAAATCCGAAGCTATCGATAGCTGATTACGGTTACATAATACCATCTCTGCCCCTCAGCTGTTTTTTGTGAGAGTTCGGCGGCGTCTGTTTAATTTGTTGCACTATTATTCATAGTCTTACCATTCTCAAGACTTGATCAAATCCCTGGGTACCGGTGACGTATTCCGCTGTAGCTAATATAATGTCCAGTCCTTTTTTTTTGCTCGACATTCTGCTGGATATTTGATTGCCGAACCGAACACTGCAAAATGACAAAAGTTACTGAGGGAGAAATTTCAGGCGGCGGCCAAGATGTCGGGAAATGTAAGTGTATTAGTGCTATATAGCCACACCGATTTAAAACTAAGATAGTGATATTGGTAAGGGCTGATATGCCGATTTTTCGCGCTTTGTTTTGCTCGCCTTATTTGTGTTGCTTGTAAATATTGCACACTTATCTCTTATTCTATGAAATATGGGACTAACTTAATTATATCCCCCAGCTAATCTGGATTTTCCTATACTGGCCAAAGGATATGTACGTCAGGACTCGGTTAACGATTTTGTGGCCAGCTATTCGGAGGGAGAGTTTATAGCTCTCAGTGGCTCCAAGACGGAAGTGGTCACCTTGGAGTTGAGCAGCAAATTCGTGGCCCTGGATCCTTTTCCATATTTGGTAGCCTATTTGGAATGCAACGCTTCGGAACCGCGACCCTTAGATGTTTTGGCTAGTCAAGTGAATCTGGAGGCCATATACGACACCTGTGATGTCCTGGAGGCGCAACATTTGGCCTTGGAACCAGCTTACACGGCTGTTTGCTCCGTTTCTGTGCCAGCAACGAGATTAGTAGCTGTCAAGCGGTCACCCAAGTTACTACCAAATGGAAATCTTCTTCTGGGCTCCCTTAACTCCTATGGATTTTTTACCTTAATGAGCAAACCCGCGGAGTACAACCGATGGAGCCGACTGGAGGAGCTCAATGTGTCGGTAGTCTTAAGGGACACCCTGCTACCCGAACAAGACATTTCCAACATAACAAGCTTTAAGAAGTATCAGGCATTCATTAATCGCGCCTGGATCACGATGTTTGCTTGGTTACCAGATAATTCTGAGACGAATGGTCATCATATTCTGGTCTTGGCAACCGCTTCTGGGAGTTTGTGGACTCTCAACCTAAGTGCCGATGCGAAAACAATCCTGAGTCACCAAGAAGTATGCACCTCACTTGGTCGCATTTGCTATATTGACGCTTTCAAGGACCTTCTACTCCTAGGCGATATCAATGGTCTCATCCATCTGTACAAATTCGTGCCACAGGAGATCCCCAATTTTGTCTTGACAAAGGCTTTGTGGGAAAAAGCTGATCGCATGGGTCTGCAAAATGCACTGATTACGGAGTGTCCCGTCAAGAATTGCTACTACATAACCTGCTCCAAGGCGTCGCATGTGCTGACCTGGTGCATGCCAAGATCGGAGGAGAAGCAGTGGCTGGCGACACGACTCTACGTCGGCGGGATGAAGATCACCGGTCTGTGCAGCCTGGGCAATAATAGCTTTGCAGTGGGGAGCGCAGGCAGTCATTTGCATCGGATTCAAATCTTCCATGAGGACAACCAACTCCGACTGCAGATGCAATCAATACCCATGGCTGTGCTGCAGGACTTCCCGGTAATGGGACTCTGCACCAGTAGGCACAAGAATCTAATGACCATGTTTGTCTACCGCAACAAGGAATTTATAAATCAAAACGTGGCCCAAAGGAAACATATGGACATTCAAGTGGTCAAGGTACGGAATGAGGATGCTCTTGCTCAGCTTATTAGCCATTTGGAAGTTGATAAACCCATCAATTACCACACCGATTTCTTAGCCGAACTTCGACTTGACGTATTTGTCGAGGCGAATTGGCAAAGATATATAGACTTTAGTCCATTGAATAGCTTTACATTTTCGGAGCCTGCCACGGAAACGCAGCTGCAGCAGCTGCAAGTTAAATTCCACGTCCTGCAATCCGTTCTTCGCCTGCAAACGAGTCTGCTCCAACTGACGGTACATGTAAAAAAGTCTCAGGATGAAATGAAGCTACTCCTGGCGATGCTATCCATTACACACATAAGACTAAGACTCCAATTTATTGGTACGCTGAGTCAACGAACAACATTCCAGCAGCAGACAACAAAGTGCATGTTTGAGGAGTCTCGACGAATGATGAACAAACTAAAGTCTGACTTCTCGGAGGAGCATCCTCTGGGATCTACCACAAAGGCCTTTGTTGAAGAAATAGGAAAACAACTTAAGGTATTGCATAACAATCTGGGCAATCCTGTGATTGGAGATCCCTTGGAGAAACCACTGTTGCGCTGCAGTGTGTCGTTTGTGGAGGTAAGAATTTATTATCAGGATTAAAAAAGATACATATCTAATTTCTATACAGATTTCCCCCAGCTTGGACCGTCGCTACTGCAGCATCTGCGAACGCTCGATCCTTTTCGAGCTGGAGAATCTGCAGGAACTCTACGATCTTGGTAGGATACTAACGTGCCCCATCTGCCATGGAAGCTTTGCCGTGGAAATGTTAACTGCATAAACGTTAAATTTATTTTCAACCTAAACTACAAAGCTTTTTGTGTGTCCGCCTCTGAGAGCAGAGCAAGTGAATCCAAAAGAAGACGACTTACTCGGCTGACAGATGCCAACACACGACGGAAAATGAATGAAAATTACAACGCTAGTACTCGGAAACATAGATAATGGGAGTGGTCTCGATCAGGAGAATATCCTGCTCCACCTGGCGAAGATCGGACTCGAGTTTGCTCTTGCGCTGCCGCTTGGCGATGCTGTCGATGAGCAGCGACATGGACTGATATTGCTTGGTCATCTCGGTCAGGCTCATGCGTAATCCCTCAAGGATCTCATTGCGCTCCGGCTGGTTCATCACTCGCATTCCTGGCATTTCCGGTGGACCACCCAAGTCGACGGAGGCCCTGGTAAATCCCTTTATACCGCGGCACAGCTCCAACAGGCGTGCCTGTTCCTTGGCGCACACCGCATTCATATCGGCCAGCATCCTCTTCGTCTTCTTGAGGTAAACAGGAACCTTGCCGAAATCCTTGCGGCAGATGAACTGCGGCACCAAACCGGAATTCAGTAGATTGTGACGAGTTCCACCGGGGGTGTCTACATAGCGAGGTGGCGGGGGACAGGGTATGGTCTCCCTTGCGCACATCTTGTTGCGTTTGATGAAATTGGGCGCCATGGTCGGCTTGTGGCCGCCACTTCCCGCTGGTGGAAGTGGAGGCATCGGCGGCATCTTGGGGCACTTGTGGGTGTTCTCCCGCCGCCACTTGATGCCCTGATTTTTGCGCAGAAAGGCGCACGGTGGATCAATCGGAGTGTGGGCACACCCCATAGTTCGATGCAGGGATTTCTTGGCCTCGGTTAGGACGCGGGTGCCATCGTTCTGCAGAATAACCGACAGCTTCTTGTCCTCCACATTAAAGCGTTCCCGCAGATCCCTGGCATACTTGGCTGCCCTTTCCACAATAGCTGAAAGTAGATAATAAAGATCAAAGAAAAAGTTAACCTTGATTGAGAAAAATAATTCAAAAATCGGCCTGGATAGGATTAAGATTTAAAAGAATTTCTTACGATTTTTGTAGACAAATATCGATTCCTTGGGTCCCACGGCTCTCTCAAACTCGTGCTCACAGCCCAGGATGTTCTCATCGTGATGGGTGATGTAGACCAGCGACATTGTTAATGCAAATATATAAGGTTGAAATCAAAGAACTCTAAAGCGTTCTAGTTTACTGACTACTCGTATAATTATAAAAGATTGTTAAGTATTGACTTCGGCGTTGCCAAGTATTTCTAGCTGACTTCGATTGTTTGAACTCAAAACATGGGTTGCTATAGCATTTCACAGTTTTTGGAATAAATGAAACCCAAACACGTTTCCTAGAGATTTTAAATTTGTTCTAAGGAAATTCTAGTACTTTGAGAAACACACAAAAAGTTGGTATTATTGTATATATTTTTTTAAAGCACAAAATCAAGCTACAGCTTGTGTCGCACGCGTGTTACATTTATAAATTGTAAATAATTTGTTACCATATAAAATTCGTGTATATAAATATTTTGCTTGCGTATATAAAATAACTGTTTGCATTGTAAAATTAGCACTAAGATCGTTTGTCATGGTTACATTTTGATTCCGAAGCTTAACAATAAACATGGAAGTGTTGGAAGCACGATTTAAATACGAATACGAACGACACAGATTCAGATACGGATTACAGATTCAAAGCAGCATCCAAAAATGCTGGTGCCGACTTACAAGCTAGATATGTGGTTTAATGGGTTGTGAGTTTGACAATGTTAACGAAAAAGACACTCGGAATTTGCACTTTTTTTTTGGCGGGGCCAGCTTTGCTACGCTGGCCACCGGATAGGCACTACAAAAATTTCGGATCCGCAACGTGGTCCTTAGTTATTGCACGTTGTCATTGGAGAGATGTTCAATCATACAGCTGACCCAGCAGATTCACTTGTTGCCGCTGCCCTCATTGCTCTGGCGCTCCTCTCGAATCCTCTTAAATGCCTCCGTCTTGACGAAGTCCACGGAGTTGTAAACCACGCTGCTGGGCACTGGGGCCCGGGCTCCACCCGCATCCACGGCAGCCAGCCGAATTCCACTAGCTCCATTGTTGCCCTGAGAGTACAGATTTCCCACACTCATGCTGGATCGATTGAGCAGTGGGGGCTTGTTGGTTACATCCAGATCGAAGTACTGCAGTTTGTGCTCGGCCTGCGCCACCGGTTGTTGCTTTGGAGCAGCAGCCGCTCCCACCAAGCTCATCATGGTCGCCGCTGCCGATGCCGTGCGCTGATGTTGCACCGACATGCTGCCGGGACTGTTGGGATGTTGACGTTGTTGCTGGCGCGGTAGGGTGCGGGTCTCGTGGAAAAAGGTGGATGCTGCCGGGGAGTGGACATCTATTTCCTGCGGCAGCACCATGGAGAGAGGGGCTCCAGAGGAGCGTCGCGTTGCCGGCGACATTGTGGCCGAAGTTCCCAACTAAAAATAAATCGATGCATTATTTAATGATTAAGACACCCGTTTTGTTTTTATCTCACCTTATAGACGTTAGGCTTGCACTTCCTGTCTACGCTGGGTCCTTTCGGCTGCTGAAGCTGAGCCGCTCCAAGTTTACTGGTTAAATGTTCTACGCCCACCGGGGGCTTGGCCGGAAACTCCTCCGGCGGTTTGTCCTCAGCGGCAGGCAATCCACCCGCACCTTTTGGCTTCAGCTTGCGGTTCACCGGAGGACGATTAGACTCCTCCACAAAATCGTAGCGAAACACATTGCCCTCCATCTTTGTCGGAGCCGCATTCGTGTAGCAATGGCGTGGCAACGTGCGAGCACTAGTGGGCGATGAGGCGGCTGGCTGAGAGCCGCCAATTTGGCCAAGATTGGCTGCCGTTAATGTGGCAGCCACGGAGCCCAAACCGGCTGCCATGAGATTCGGTGTGGATGCTGCAATGGGATTGGAATTGTGCGGGCTGGTCACTGGCCGCTCGCTCAGCAGGTGGTTGATATTGTAGTAGGGAAGTTGGTGGGAGCGTGGAATGTCGTAGCTCTCCTCGATCAACGCCGAGTTGGCATTGCGACGGGCCACAATGGCCGGGGAAGTGTTTTCCGTGTCTGACAGCTGCGGCAGATCACGAGGAATTCTTGCAATAAACCGAATTAATATGAAGTTAGGTTGAAATTCAGAAGGGTTTGCGTTTTTAGCTCACTTTTCATTCTCCTTAAAGTCGAGTATAAGATTATTTTTGTTCTTCAGCACCTTAGCCAGTTTCTCCAGCTGGTCACCAGCTTCTGCCAGAGATGCTGCTCCTGCTAGCTTGGAATGCGTTTCAGTTAGAGGCACCACAGCTCCACCTTCTTCTGGCATCTTGGAAAAACGCTGCGAGTAGGTCAGCACAAATGACTCGTTCTCAATAGAACTATCCGATGGTCGGGTACTGCGATCTGTGATACATTTGAAATTGATAATAGTTCTATTTAAAATGTGGGTATGAAACACTTACCCACATTCTCACGCAGGGGCAAAGGATGGGCCCATTCTTCGTCATCGGTAAAAACGCTTTCCGAATCTGAGTCGGAACGTTGTTTACTGGCATTTGGATTGGCCAGTTGTTGCTGAAAGGCAAACAGAAAATAATTAATGACAAAGTGCTGGATTAAAACATACTCTTTAACTTACCAGACTCAAGTTGGTGATTTTGGGTGAGTAGGATTGATCGTTGGTCAGATTCAAACCGATGTTATTATGACAACGTGGCGTATCATAGAACTTGGGATCCAAATTGTTCAACGGCGTTATGGGATTGTTTGGTATGGGCACATCTGCTCCTCCGGGAATGGCACTGCCGGGCAGGAATCTCGGGGTGCCCGAGAAGCACTCGCTGATGGGTATGTAGGGCCCGGAGGCAGTGCTTAAAGCGGGCGAAGCCTGAACGCTGCTGTGCTGTTGGGCAGCAGCCTCCGCCAGGGTTTGTTGGGTGAGCACCAGGTGCTCCGGCAGCTTTCGCACCACCCCATTAGAGTTGACCGCCAGGCGGGCCTGTTGTTGCTGCTGCTGCTGTTGCTCGGCGGATGCTGCTGCTGCCTGAGCTTGGATCAAAGCACTGTGGTTTAAATAAAGTGCAGTTGCAGGCGATGGAGGCGGTTGCTGCTGGGCAGCCGAGAGCAGATCCTGCTGGTCAAAATTGGCATCGCAGAGCATCGTCTCGCGATTGCTGTATTCCGTGTTGACATACACCGAATCGGAGTTGTTGTTGCCCGCATTCGAGGGCATCGGTTGCTGTTCAATGACCGCAGGTCGTCGCAGCTGGGCCGCTCCTCCAGTACTCGGGGCTGCAGCTTGGGCTGCCGTGGTTCCAGCCGAGGAGTGCAGCGATGTGGTGGTCGTATTTTGAGTGGAGTTGCTCAGTCCGCCACTGGAGCTCGTGTGCTGGGTGCGGTTATCATCTGGGTATTACAAAAAATGAAACGTTAAAGAAGAAAATTCTTTGGAATAGTGATTCAGGAATCTTACCTGCCCCCACACCTCCCAGAGGCAACTCATTCGACTGCTTGGTGTCGTGCAGATGGCACACCTGGCAGATGCAGTTGACCCAGTCGCGCATGTCCGCCTCCGTTTCGGCAGCCAGGTAATAGGTGCGCTTGGGCGTCTTAATGTCGAACATGTACTGGAACTTCTGCTTTCGATTCTCCAGCCGCAGCCCACAGTCCACCTGCTCGCATTGATCCAAATCGATGACGCCCTTCAGCTTGCGGCAGTTGTGGTCGGTGTAGTATTCGAGGCAGAACTGCTCGGGTATCTCTCCCTGCTTTAGTATGAACCAGCGACGCCGCCAACGCTGCAAAGATACAATGGAAACAAGGCGCTTAAGAGTTGGAACGATACGCAAAGTTAGTAAACAAGCAAGGACAGACCCTTCTACTAGCGATGTACTTATTTTAAGCCATAAGACTTGTCATATCCAAGATATTTTCAAATTAAAACTAATAATAATAATGTCTTATCTTTACTTACAAAAAGCGCTTTGACCTATCAGTAAAGCAAATGAAGTAATTCCCCTATTTAGTTTTAATAAGTGATAAGAGGTATCCATTACAATGAAGGCCATGCGACAATTTTCAAGAAGATATCACTACTATTGGGAGTCTGAGAGATACATGAATGATGATGACTAACTAATCCAAATAATTAGTCATCTGGGCAAAGAATATTCTAAGGGCTAACAAGTTCGTTTAGTTCACCCATTTTTTCTATATAAAAGATTTTACAAAAAATGGTTTTATACACACCAATTCGAGTAATTGTTGATAGTATTTGTTAGGAACTGATAAGAAGAGTGATGTTGTACTAATATATTTATATATTTTGGAGATACGAATGTCTTTTTTTCACTTTAATACTGTTTAAAGAAGAAATCTTAGAGCTGGATAAATAAATGTGCCTTACAATGGTATTGATATTTCTTTTGTGAATTTAGATACCCTTATTGAGCGATGGACTGTGAATGGTGATATGGGGGTGCAGCAGTCCACTACTGATCCGGCTGCCCAGCTGAAAGACTGACTATACTATCATGTTAACTGGTGGTGATGGTGAGTAAGCGGGTGATGCAGCCGACTGCAATGTCAACTGAGACTGCAACGCCGCTGCTTTTCCGCGAATCATATTTTGCATTGACATTTTCTTGGGTAATCAGCAGGCACACACAGTCCCACGAATCAACACCCCACGCCCACGTTACCGTTAAATGATTGCCAAAACAGCTGGGTGGTTTGAGACCTTGCTGAAAATGAAAATCCCAACTGATAATGGATGGTTTTTTTCAGACTGTATAATATCAAGCTTAATTGAATTATAAACAGTAAACAAAAAGCCGCGCACAAGCCAGAAATTGGCACCCCGAGGCGATTGAAATACGCAGCTCATTCTCTCGAGGCATCATTATTGTTTGTTTATACAGTGGCGCACAAAATAATAGCAACGAAAATTCGTGTAGACCTTTCTAAAATTGGTTTGTTTACTTTTAACTTGCTTACAATATTTCGGTTTTCAAGAAGACTTGTGTAAAAACAACCTTAGTTTCTATCTTTAGTTTATACTGATCAAAGGTCAATCTACAAGATACTTTATCTTTTAGTAACTTTTCGAATTTAATTTTCAAAGCAGGAAATAAAGTCTTCAACAAACTGGTCGAATAATTGTAAAGCTAGGTAATATTAGTTACTATCTTGACAGAAAAACAAACAGTATGAGTCCAGAGAAACCATAAATTGGGTTTTGCTGTAATTGAAAAATGCTGTATTGCAGACCTTTTGATCAACGTTTTGGGTGTTCTTGGAACTGTCGTATCCATTATAAGTGGTTTCAAATGTACACCCTAGAGGTGAGCGCGTGAGGAAAGTATCTCATCATGAACTCTTCAAGAAATTATCAATGTTTTTGTTATGTGTGTATGCCAGTTACAAAGTCAGAGTATTAAACACTTTATTACATTGTTAAAAGAATATACATCCCAACTTTTTTCAATAACCATTTTTGGAATATTATTACATTATCTATTATGACCTATGTATATGGGTAATGAAAAACTTTTGAGAATAAGTGTTAAATAGTATTAAAATCACGACACGCACCCATCTCTGCCCCAAGCAAGAACAACAACTACAAGGAGCTGGAAAGACAAGTGCGTCATTGTTTTTGTGGCTCTGTTGTGTGTTTTGTTTTTGTGCGTGATCCGATGTGGCTTATCGCCCGTACATAAAAACAAGCTACATATGAACATCAAAAAACATACACACATATAGCCATACATACTTTTCACACGAATTACGGGGAAAAATAAATTTGATTAAACGCAACAGTTGGCGGTAATTTAATACACGAACGGCTCCCTAAAGTAAACATTAAACGGAAAATTAATTAAGCGTAAATTTAGACCAGCGCCAAAAACAAAAACACGTTCCCACGCCAAAAGCAAACATAAACAGAAAGAGAGTGAGAGAAAGAGAGGGGGACAAGAGGAGGTGGAAAAAGGGAAAGAAAAGAGAGAAAACCCAGAGGAAGCCATCGTAAATTCATTCACATTTTGCAATTTCTGCTGCGGTTTGCAGCTTGTTTGCATTCCAATCAACTGGAATTGCAATCCCTCGGTTTAATAATGAATTAAATTATACCACAAACAACAACGGCAAACAAACACACAGACACACACGAGAGTAGGCACCAATACAGGCTTAAGGTAATTGTAAAAAAAAAATGCCACTTCCATTATAGTGACTCAATCGATGGACACAAATTACGGTATATCTCTTCCGGTCTTAAGTTTACCGTTAGCTAATTGCGGTTTTCTTTTCACAATACACTTATCACTTGGCAATTTGGTTTGTTAAGATTTCGATTTCGACTTAAGCTGGGGTTTTCATAAAAATTCCTTTGGTCTTGTAGGTAAAATTCCGTTTTGGGGTCTTTGATTTTTGGGGCTTCCAAGAGGAAACTTACTGCTCGCCAAATGCGCTTGGTGGGCGGCGACTTAATTAGCCAGCCTTCGTAGAAAGTGCGATCCATTATTTTGCAGCGCTCGAGGGAAATTACTTCGATTTATTTCACTTCGCGCACACCAACAGCGTTTAGAAGGACCGCTTGCGAGTTCTGCGGAAAGACCGCACAGTGTGACCGTATGCTAGGTGTGGGTATATACTGAATACTACAATTTATTTCCAGGTTGGTATATACCAAATACTACAATTTTAAAAATGCCCAATCTTAAAGTTTTTAAAAGGGTAGGTAATATCTAGAATATTTATAATTAGAACTCGGGAGAGAATAATGGTTTAAAATTAGTTATTTTAAAAACAAAACATTTACATCTTCAATCAAAAGACTCACTAAATATCCTAGAGGGCAGATACCAGAGCTCTAAGTTTTAAAAAATTACAATTTTGTGAAAATTATGGTGCAAAATTAATTACAAACAACGTTAACATCCCAACTTAAAAATCTATTATTTATTTCTTATATATGTATAACCAGAATTTTTAAAATTCCAAATTATTTTCCTTTCTTACAATAAACACAATCAAGAGAATATTTCTTTCAAAATTTAAAATTTTATTAAATCTTTAGACCTGACAAAACTAAATTGTATGGTTCTGTATAACTGCCTCATCTAATAATTTTCAAATCTAAACCATATATTGCAAACAAAAATTATTTTCTAAGAACAAGCTACAAAACTCTTTCAGGCTTGGGATATTATCTCAAAATTTGATATTGGAACATTCAACGACCATCTCCGAGTCCAGAAATATTCTTCATTTTAACATTTATAGAACTTTGTGGTTGATAACTAAAGCCTCAAACATAAAATACCGTATATGTTTCTTCATTAAAATTTCCAAAAACAGACAATGATTATTTTTTACAAATAAGTTTTATTCCGCCGTGTCAAGTGTATGCTGACAACATACAGATTTTCCATGTAGAATAGCATTTTCTCCCACAGCGCCGCACAAAAGAGTACGGCTACTACCCAGATCTCAGGCGGAACCTGCTTCACGCCGGAATGATCCTGCTGTAGCCAGTGCTTATTTGTCCTTGCTGTCGCCCTTGCCACCACGGATCCTACCGGTACGACGGGCAGCGATGAGACCGACCTTGCGACCGGCGGAGGTGCCTCGCTTGACGGTGGAAGCCTTACCAATATGCTGGTGGTTACCACCACCGTGGGGATGCTCCACAGGGTTCATGGCAACACCACGCACCTTCGGCCAGCTGTTGCGCTTCACCTTGTACTTGTGGTAGGCACGACCGGCCTTCAGGATAGGCTTGTCGATACGACCGCCACCGGCGACGATTCCGACCATGGCGCGGTTGGCCGAGGGCACGACCTTCTTGGCGCCGGAGGGCAGCTTGACACGGGTCTTCTTGGTGTCCTGGTTGTGGGCAATCACGGTGGCGTAGTTGCCAGAGGTACGGGCCAGACGGCCGCGATCGCCGGTCTTCTCCTCAAGGTTGCAGATGATGGTACCCTCGGGCATCTGGCTCAGGGGCATCACGTTGCCGATCTGGAGGGTTGCCTTGCGGCCGCAGTACACGAACTGGCCGGTGTGCATGCCCTCGGGGGCGATGAACAGCTCCTTGCGGATCTTGTAGCGGTAGGGGTCGCGGAAGTGGACGACGGCCAGGGGAGCGCCACGGCCGGGATCGTGAATGATGTCCTGAAAAAGGAAAGGTATGTTATAATTTTTTAACTTGAAACCAAAGCAAATATCTTAAGCCACTTATTAAATGGACCTGAATATAAACAATTATGTTTACAAAGGATCCCTTTAAAAGCTGTCCAATCTGTTTAAATGTGAATGCTCCACAATATAGGTAAGATAACAATAACAAAATTATATTTCAAATCATAAAAGCACATGAGTTTTAATTAGGTATTACTAGCGTAACTTGATATCCATAATGCCAAACTATCTGATGTGGCAGTGTATGGTAAATCTGTGGATGTGCATCAACTTGAACTACATTCGATAAGCAACAGATTGAATGTCTTGAGTACTAATTGCTAAGCAGTCTTCACTGTAACTCCTTCTGGACAACGGACTCACCTTGACAACTCCGCGAATGTAGCCGGAACGCTCGGCGAAGTCCAGGGAACGCAGCTTGGCGGCTCCCTTGCGCTTCTTCACGTGCGCCTTGAACACGGAACCAGCGCCCTTACGCTGTGCACGAATAACGCGACCCATTGCTGTAAAGGTAAATTCGCGCAATTAGTATTTGTATCCACTTGGAAAATTATACGTCGCCATTTAACGCCCGTCCATCGCAACACCCCACGAAATATGGTGCCGATCGGCCGCGGCCAATCTGTGGCCCTTCGTTTCGGAGGTCATTTTCCATGGATGTTGCGATAAATGTTGTTAAATCTCACGATTTTTTCTCGAACTCGGCGAGCAGATGCGGATCGTACCAAAATTTCGGTGGAAAAGAAAAGAAAGAGAGGGAAGTGTCAGTGTGACAGGAGAGGTGCACGAAAAGCGATAACTCTGCTTTAACAGCACGCTGTTAAAATGACATATTGTGCTGTTGCGCGCGATGGGCCTTAACATTAGACTCCACTGGCTCATATTTTTGGGTTAGTTATTTATTGATGTAATTAATTTCTTTTTAATTATAAAAAGATCAAAAAAATGTCAGCTTGTGAACTTTTGATTTATTTAAAGCACAAGAAAGGCAGCTATATTCTGCAAGTCAAAGCTTATTATGTATTAGGAAACATACTTAACCCACCAGTTTATATTTATAAAATTGTATAGAACTCAGTTATTATTAATTATGATTTTATTTTTAAGCAGATAGGATTAGCTTTTCCGAAATTGCTATGCAAATTTTCTTATAATACATGAATAAATATATTTATTTTTAATTGCTGTTAAATGGTTTCCCATTGCTACAAAAATCAATCCTTTTTTTTACTATTATATTTGCTAATATTTGTTTAAAATGTTATATTCTAATTTCCTGTGAGTAAACGGTTATAAAAACATTTAAAGAAGGTTCTGTAGCAGATAGTACAATTATGGCTTGACTTGTCAATGTGTCTAAGCGAATTTTTCTTTAAAGATATGTTTTTCTTAGGTTTCTAATGAGTTTTAAAAGCCTGAATTACTTTTGCTTCCTATCCTTAAGAGTCCTAATAAGGCATTTTTTTTCAGTAAAAAGAGATACCATACCCAATATTATTCAGGAAAACATTATCTAATCGGAAAACTCCAATTGGGATGTTTTTTGTTGGTGCCCGGCGTCGACAAGAATTTAAGAGAAGAGCTATTAGAGATACGGCTCTCAGTTAGTAAACAGAAACAGCAAACTCTCCTCATCTAAAGAATATTTCCTTAAACATTTTGCTTGATTAGTTGCTATTTAAATAGTAAAAAAATAAACCACATAATCAAAATGTAACGATACGTTTATAGTGAAGACCAGTAAGACGTCGATGGCTATCGATATTCGCATGCACCGATACTTCGAGTCTATCGATTGTCTTCAAACTTTAGACCACTTCAATAGTTTATGTGCAAAGCTTTTTTGGATTGTATATCTTAAAATTTCTGTAAGGAAATCGTTGTGTTTAACATTTTTGGTAGGAAAACGTTGTATTTTAATATTTAGTGATGGATAAACATCGATGAGGGCAAACATCGATATCACCTAGTCTTAAAAACATCGATGTCATCGTGTTAGCATCGATGTTTCCCCACCTCTATTGTGAATTCGGATTTCGGTGCGAGATTTTGGCGTCGCGTTGAACGGAACTCGCTCTGATTTTCACACAGAAACAGAACCGAACCGAAACCGAAGAAATTGAACAAGTCTGCCGTTTGTGCGATGCAAAAGCGATAGGCCGCCCAATCGCTGTGCGTGAAAAGTACGTAAGATCCGTGGGAAAATCGTGGGAAATCGCGAATATCCTGCGCGAGTAAGGAAGGAAAAAACGAGTGGCAGATTTTTTCTGTCTATCTACACAAACACATACGCTGGCTGCTGTGCTGGTGTGGGTGTGTGTTGGATGGTCTATCGGAGCGCCGCTGAATAAAAAATGAAATTGTGCAGTGTGTGTCTGAAGAAGAAACAGCAGCTGAAGCGGCAGTGATTAATAAATGTTTTGAAAGCGAAAAAAGATTTTTTAAAGTGCTGGGAAATTAAAAAAGAGCCGCGCCCCGTTTGCCAAATGTTAACTAACCCACACACAAACACTCGGTCACAAAAACACACACACACACAGGGAGAGAGAAATAGAGAGGAAGAGAGAGAGAAGAAGAGCGGAGAAGCAAAAAAGAGAAAAGCTGTATGACAGCAACAAATAGTTTGTTAATTGCACAGGTTTTTTTTTGTATTTAGCGCATTCGGTAAATAAAAATAAAATTAAAGTCTAATCCTTGAATTTTGCTTCTTCCCCACTTGTCCTCCTGTTTTGCCCTTTCTTTCGCCGTTTCATTTGCATTTCTCCCATTTCCACCTCTCTCTTCTCTCCTCTTTCTGCTTGTAAAGAAGCAGCAGCATTAATTCTCCAGATCCAGAAGAACAACAAAAAATAGCAAATCAAAATGGCGCACCAGCAGCAACAACAACTAGCTCCATCGGTCAACTGTTCACTGGACGATATCGATCTGACGGCACTAAAAGTGAGTATATGGCTCATAGTTTATTGAAGATAAAGCCCCCCGAAAAAAAGAGCTTCCCCAAAAATAGAGCCCCAATTTTACACACTCCCCTTCTCTATTCATTAACACGCCTCGCCCGATAAATGGGAAAGTGACCGCCCGTGATTCTCCCAGGTGTGGTCGTTTACACTCCAATTTCCGTTCATAATTCGTTCAAATAAGACTATTAAATTTCATAAAACTTATCCGGGAGCCCCATAAGATTTATTAACGCATTTGATTTACTTTTTGTACACTATAAGTTCCCTAAATTATATTCTTAAGTTAATGTTTTTTTACTTTAAATAAAATTTGCGTTACAACTTCTTTAAAATCAATTCTAACTAATCGTACTTCCATTATTTTCTAGTATGTTTACGTTTATGTTTTCTGTAATAATCTGTTTGATTTCACATAATAATAAAAAACTCTAACCAATTCCTTAAAAAATTAATTTTTTCTG